GTTCCCTTGTAAACAGTTTTCAGACCAGCAGAACAGAAAAATGCTTTTGGGACTTAGCAATCCCATGCAGCTGGTCAAAAGTGTAATTCGAAATGGGGTCCACTCCAACCTCCGGACCTTCTCCTGTCCCCCCCAAGGTTTCGCTATCCCTTCCTATTGATCCCGCCCCACTAGTTCCATGCACAGCCATACCTCCCATCAAAATGTCTTTTCCCAATACTCCACCACTGCTCATTGCGTCAATCAGTTCCGTACATATCATTTCTAAGCCCGTATTATCCCCTTTCTATTCCCCCAATAACATTTACGTTACCGCTCCCATCGGTCCCCTCAGGTGCATTAAATTCGCACCTCCCTCCTTTATCTAAGTTAAACGAAAGCTCATCAGCTGCCTCGTCCGTTTAGACACACCCTGCAATAGAGGAGCTATTTCCCACGCCCGCGGCAAACATCAAGTTGTCCCCTACAGTTGCCCCAACCCCATCACCCACCCCCAAGGTACTGTTGAATCCCATTCCCATTTCTGTGGTTGGCAATGTAGTTGGGCCCCTTGTTAATAGCATAGGTAGATTATTTAGAGTATTCATTATAGTAGTTTGGTTTTTCAGAACTGTGAGTAGGACTTGATTTGTGATGAATGTTTGCTGGAGGTGATAGTTCGAATCTGTGGCCGTTGTGAAGTAAAAAGAGTCGAGCATGGAGGTTGTTCTGGTGATGATGTAATGACTGCATGTTCTGGGTTTGCTGGTGAGGAAAGTTGGGTAGCTGGATGTCCTTGTTGGATGGGTGGAGACAAGTAAGAAAGAGGTTGTGCTGGGGATGGCAGAGAAGAGTAGGTACAAAGTTGTGCTGGCGACGATGTGGAAACTGCTTGAATGGGCGGAGAAGAGTAAGAAAGAGGTTTTTGCTGGTGACGGCGGAGAAGAGTACATACAAGGTTGCACTGATGATGAAGTGAGAAATGGATGTTCTTGTTAGATGGACAGAATGAACGTGGGTTCGTTATGTTGAATAGGAGTGAGGGATTGAGTTGTAGTGGCTATACATAGAGGACAGGGCTCGAAATTGCGACCGATACGGTCGCATTTGCGACTTAATTTTTCTTATTTGCGACTAGAAAAACAAGAGTAGTCGCAAATTTGCAACTAGGTTTTGCCTTAACTGATACGAAATAAAAGGACTAGCGCTTGAATTTTTGCTTAAATAAATTTAGAAATAAAAAGATTCATTGAAGTAGCGTCTTATAATTTTGTTACAATCTGAAGGTTTACCGTAATTTACCTGGAATGCATACACGCAACGATATTCCTTCAACAGCACGCCATTTTCAGGGGTTTTGTAAACATGTACATTGCAGGCTCATATTTCGTTTTGATTTGCTGCTGACAGTCCTGCCAGCATGCTGAGGACTTTTCCCGCGTTTATGACCCGCGTTATGGTCCTCACAGCACACGTGTTCTTCTTTAGTGAGTCAATTATGTCGGATGAAAGCAACTTAAATTGTTTCAAAGGTCACTTTTTAAATGAAGAAATCGACCGAGCGAAAGTTATATACTCAAGAAAACAAGAGGAATTCTCATGTTTAATCGGTCAGCAGCCAAAACCAAGATACAGTAATCTTCCTCGAGATGAACTTGGGACCTCGCCCATCCCAGAAGATGTCACAGGAGCCGATGATCGTCTTGTGGCACTAAAAGCTAAAGGTAATGGAGATTGCCTTTTCAATTCCATCTCCATTTTGTTATTTGGTGACGAAAACCGATCGCACCTCTTGCGATTATTGGTGGCAGAAGAACTGTATTTCAATCGGTCATTTTACGCTGACCATGATGCTTTCAACGACGCAGTTGCATCAGATACAGATTTTTTCCCAGCTGTTCTGTTTACTGTTGCGTTAACAACGCAAGGAGACAAAAAATTTTCTGACACAGGGAATAGGGAGGAGACCATAAAAGAAGAGGCTTTTGTGGTGTGTGAGGTCAGAGCTTGGTCTTCCCTTGTCCACATCATGGCTATGAGTTCTGTTCTATGTAGACCGATAGTCTCAATGTACCCCAGTGTCCAATTCAAATACCGTTGTCTGGTAAACCGAGTTATAAATCCTAGAACATCGGATACCTCCGCCACTCCTAAAGAACCCCTGAACATTCTGTGGTCTAGGGATGGTAATTTGGACAATGCAGATGGAGGCTGGTACATCCCAAACCACTTTGTGCCTGTAGTCCTGGCAGACGAACCAGATAGTGACACGCAGCATTGCCTATCTATTAGCAAGAACAGTACCCCTAAAGGGAAGCAACAAGGTGCACTCTTTTCCTTTCTGAAACCGAAGGCCACAACTGTTTTTGCTGAGAAACCCAAAGGTTCAAAACGAAAGACATGCAATGCAGGTCTTGACAACAAACCTGACGTCAAAAAATCACCTTCAGCTTCAGCCGCCTTAAAGAAAAAGATCATCTTAAAATGGAAGGACGAGTTCCCTTGGCTGACAATTCGGAAAGAGGGTGACGCAGTGATTTGCAGTGTCTGCATTCAAGTACCAAAAGAAGCTGGAAACACGCAGTTCATTACAGGTTGCAAGTCAGAGAAAAAGGAGACATTCCAAATCCATGCTAAAAGTAACGGCCATCTACATGCCCATACAGCCCTTTTGTCTCAACAGAAGCCTGTTCGTGAAACCATGCTCGTGCAAAGTTTCTCTAAGGCGACAAAGGACCTGGATGAAAGAGACCGAAAGGAAGTTGCGGTTAAAATGACGACTGCCTACTTTGTGGCGAAAGAAGAACTGCCTTTCAGCAAGTTCAATTCCCTCATATCTTTGCAGAAAAAGAATGGTCTAGCACTAACGTCCACGTATGCAAATGACAAGACCTGTGCCGAAATGGTATCTGTTATCGGGAAACTCGCCAAAGAAGACCTTGCTACGTAAATTAACAGCAAACACTTCACAAGTGTCATGGCTGATGGAGCAACCGATGCAGGAGGTACAGAAAACGAAACAGTCTTCTGTAGATTTGTCCAAGATGGTCGCCCAACAGGCTTATTGGCCATAAAGCTGTCGAGCATGCACATGCAGAAGGTGATTAGTTATTGCTTGTATTTGATAGTAATTGTCACAGCAAAAGTATGTTAATTTACTGGTACACTTTCATTTGCTCAGGTGATGATCAGTATCTAATAGAGTAACCACCTGAAACTATAGCCCCTTATGCAGTTAAAACAGTTAAATGTATTTGGATTTCTGCTGCTAAGGTGCCAGTTAAGAAATGTAATTTTAATAGTTTCAAAGCCGCCTTGTGTAATTAAATATTACTTGAAGAGAGAACTATGACAGCAAAGCACTCTCAGAGAGGGGAACTGCAAACATTATCAATTGCATTTAGCTTGCTCAGTTTAGCAATAGGTTTATACCTTTTTCAGCAAAGGTTTACGGGCAGATGGACTGTGTAATTACTTTTATACTTTTATGTCTTAAATCAAGTACCGTAGGGTGGACCGTTCATGTTTTGTTTTAATAAACCTATTTTAGGGCTGAAGGAGGCTATCAGTACTACCTTTCAAGAAGCGGGGGTCGAAGACTGGAAGGAGAAGCTGGTTGCTTTTGGCACTGATGGGGCCTCTGTTAACCTTGGTAAAAAAGCAGGCGTTGCCGCATTGCTGAAAAAAGACATTCCTTACCTTGTTGACTTCCATTGTCTACCACACAGACTTGAGCTTGCCCTACTAGAGCTCCAAGGTGGTTGCAAGTCTGTGGAGGATGTGTACAATATCCTCCATCTAATTTGGAAAACGTACCATTATAGCCCTAAAAGTGTCAGGGCTTTGAAGTCTATAGCGGATGAGCTTGAAATTAATATCTTGAAGCCAACGCAAGTCAAAGGGACCCGCTGGCTTCTGCACGTTAGCCGAACGCTCAAAGTGTTTGTGAGCCATAAATCTGCCACAGAGTCCGAGTCTGGTCAGTATGCTGCCGTGCTAATGCATATGGAAGATCTCAGTGTCAACTGCAAAAATGCAGACATCCAAGGGAGAGCGCGGCACGTTTCTCAAAAGATGAAGGACATTCATTTCGCTGCATTTTGTCATTTTTTGGCAGACTTGTTTGCCATACTCAGTCGGTTGAGTCTGCAAATGCAAAGAAATGATATTATACTCCCCTCAGTAGTGTCCCATCTCAAGAAAACATTAGTGAGAATTGAAAGTGTTACCCGTCGTCCAGTGGCAGATGGCCATTTCGCTAAATTCTGGGAGAAGGTGGAAGGGACTCAAACATTTCAAGGGGTGACTTAGACAGGTTCCATCCATAGTAAAATGGGCAAACGTGGAGGAAGCATATCACGAAGCCTTCAGTCTGAAATGGAAACTGCTGCTAGTCTCACTTTGCAAGGTCTTCGCGATAGGTTTGGTGTGCTGCTAGGTATCGAGAGCCAAGTAGGCAAAAGCCAGAGTTACGACTCAACGAAAGTGGTTAGCGACATGCTCGTTTTCAACGTTGACAGCTGGCCAATGCGCCCTGGTGACCTGCTCGATTTTAGTAGTGAGGAAATCAGGCGCTTGACACGAAGGTTTCAGCCCATTTTAGAAAGAGCAGGATGCAAGATCTCTTCTATTCAAGATCAGTGGATCTCCCTAAAAATCATGGTCAATGGCAGTTCCGCAAGCTTAATTATGGTAGCCTTTGGGAGACGCTACTGACCAGAGTGCCCTACAAGGACGGTTTCAAAGATGTTCTACATCTAGTGGAGCTAGTTCTGGTTCTCCCTATTTCTGCCGCACAATGCGAGCGTGCTGTTTCGGCTCAGAATCGAATTAAAAGCAGCACCAGGGCAACCTTGAGTGTATCTGTTTTGGAAGATTTGATTCGCCTGTCCTCAGAGGGTCCCCCTGTTGCTGAATTTGATCCGAGTCCAGCAGTCAACCAGTGGTTTGAACGAGACAGATCTAAGGGAGAAAGGGCACGACGACCTCATTTCTTGAATCAAAGCAGTGGCTGTGTATAAGTGACAAAACTGTGCATAGTATTTGATCAGACAGTTACTGTTAAAGGGGTAGTGAATGGAGTCTCGAGTCTCTGCAAAGCATTTTAGAGCCGAATGTCATTGTGTCTAAAACTCAAATTTTTTTTGACTGGGTCTCTGTATCTTGTATAGTCTCCTCTTTGTTTTTATGAAGCCATATTCCTATCCCGTGTGTTGTTTGTTGTTTTTGTTTTTCATGGTTGCTGAAATAACCAAGGAGTTAGGCCGACAGCCAGAAATCAGAAAAAATTGCATTCTTGCTGTACTCTACAGGGAGATTAGATATCAGTCACCATCCCTCTCTCTAGGTTTCTAAATGGCTTGTAGTGAAATAACAACTGCATACAATCGTTAGTCACTGAGCAAGATCGAAGGAACAGAAACAAGCAGAAAAACTGGAGTCAATAACGTTCGTTGGTAAAAAATGAGTACTTAAGGCTTCATTGTTTCTTTGTTTGACAGTAACGGTTAGTTTAAAAAAAAAAAGATTAACATGTAAAATAAATCGGTTCCAAGTGGGTTGCGAATCTACGCATACATGAAAACGAGGTTTAGCAAACAAAGATGGCGGAATGTCCGCATGGCACGTATCGTCATATTGAATGATTCAGTCCTTCAGGGTTCTTTGAATAATCACTGTAGTAACACCCCTGATACTTCAGATGTAAAGCTTAATATATAAAAGAATTCGTTACTTGTTTTGTCATCAGTGGAAAACCTGCGAAAGGTAAAACTAAAGGAATTTAGTTACGTAACGTAACCTATAACCGTGTCGGATGTCCGCCCAGTACAAATGTTATTGCTATTTTGCAGAGATTGGAGGCATTTAAGAACTGCATTTTCCTGCTGTAATATCTGTTCACGATTTGGAAATCTATCGCTTTGACTAAAATAACAGGCACTAATTTATGTGCCTTAATGCAGGTTCAACTTGATCGTTTAGATGAACTGGTGTTGTCCGAGACGCTAAACGTTCTGTACTATTAAGTCTCGAAATGACATGAAAGCTGTTGAAAGAATGAAAATGAAAACGTTAATCATTTAAAAGGCTACTTATTTCTTGATTAAATGGCCTCAATTAATTTTGCGACTAAAATTTTCAAAGTTGCGACCAAATTTTCGTAACTAGTTGCAAATTTGCGACCAGACATTTTTTTTAATTTTGAGCCCTCGAGGATTTGATATAGCAAGGTCTGCTAAATTTATGTCACGTTCAGTCCTCCAGCACTCCCGTGGACTTAAGTTTTTCGTATTAACTTATCGATTAATTTGAAATTATGAATCAAATTAAATAACATAAGCGAAAAAAGTTTAACATTGTGTTGAACTTTTTCGCTTGTTTTTATCCTCAAATTTAAAATCAAAACCAAAAAATTCCAACGCATAGCTGTTATTTTATTGCTAAGAAATTACTAATGCAGTAAATCGTCGAACGAAGAATTATACAATAACTAAAGAGTGACCTATTCCAGGACATCAAACGGTTGGGTGTTAAAGACGCGACCCCAGGGTATTATTATGATAATAGCGTCACATCTGTCGAATCAGAGAGGACCAACCCGACTTCAAGCATTAACAGACTATAGGGGATGATGCACTGAAAGGCTGTATCACCAAGATTGCTTTCTTTTGCGTAAAAAATGCCCATAAGAGAATTTTGAGGAATCAACAGACCACCACTTACCGTGCAGTTTGAGGATTTTCCCCCAAACTTCCTTTCCCTCCCAGCTGACCATTACCCATTCTCCCGTCTTTATTTTTTCCTGGTGGCCTTCGCAAACATTGGCGGTAGGGGCCATTCCTTCTTGGTTGCCTTCCACAAAGAAAAAACACGCGTACTTGTAAACTTTTGTACGAAGGTGTAAACTCGCCATGAGGGTCTGTGAAGAAAAATCAACAATAATCTATCAGTCTTTGGGTCCTCTAAGCTTTGAAAGAGTACAAAGCATTCTGGGCTTTTTGTTTTCAGGTGTTTCTCGCATCAGCTTGCCGCATAGTTGTAGTGTTCTACTCAAATGTCACTTTACTGTTATGCTGAAACTTAATGAACAGGATTACAATTTTGTTTGTTATTCCCCTTCGACCTGACAGAGATAAACCATTTTTGGAGGTATCATTACAGGTATCCTCCTGTGGGCAGTAGTTTAGCTACAAAGGTCCTTAAGCGTCCATTTTTGTTCTGTTTAACAAAACGTCAATGTACGGTAAACTAGAAAAACTTATGGTTATTACTCTGGCAAAACGTGAAAAAACACTCTTTTACTATGACTAAATAGTTGATAATTTCCAACTCTTCTCTCCTCTGCAAGTAATAACACAGCCGCTTAACATCATGACCTTGCTGATCTGCAAAGGGAAATGTGCTCCAGCCGTAAGTTGTAAAATGAACATTCCATTGGCTTGTCTTCGAAATCTGAGTCTTCTTAATTGTTCTAATGTTGTTTGTATTTCGTCTGAAATAATCTTTAACACTTTGGAGAAAATAAAATATAGTGGTTATGTTCTAGCGGTGCTGATCTTTGTTATTGATAAAAGAGTCTGATTGAGATGAATAATGTTTATCCTTTTTGAGCATGAAGATGAAGGAACATTAGGGGTTTGTGTTATAGTTTTACTATGAGCATAAAATGGAGTATTTTGAAGAAACTAGTTTGGTCAGAGATAATTAATAGTATTGTAGTAATCTTATCTTTTATCACTTTCCACATCTTTGTGACAAACAAAAACTAGTGAAAGTCGTGAGAACTTCATATTAACCCTGTAACCTTTATGCAAATATCTTTGGAAATTCTGTGGTAATGCATTATAATACGTATACCTTGATTCATTGTGTTTCTGGAACTGTTTCTGGAAGTGTAAAAAAATAAATAATTAAGAAAATATAGATAGCAGTGTTTACTTTTGTTTGTTGAGATGTGAAACAGTTTTTCTTATCTGTATTAATACAAGTTGCACTGTGTTGATAAAGAAGTTAAACGGGGCTGTGCTCTAGCAGAGCCTGATCACCCCAGGGGTTTAACTTTTGGTCTCAGGTGGTGACGAAATCTCACTGTTTTGATACAGATCATATTCTGGGCACCCTTGATTTTACAGGTTGAGACCACTGGGCTTCCTTCCATTTTCCTTAGTGCACAGCCTTGCTTAAACATGAGTTTTTCGTCTATTTGTTACTTTTTTGTAAATGTTCTAGAAAGGTGCTTTATTTAACAGTCTTTAATTAGATGAAAATCTGAAAATGGCTAAATTAAAGTTGAAGGGCTTATTGTTAAAAGGTGTACATACATTGCTTGTTAGACATTTACAACAAAGGTTACCTTTAAAGGAAAGGGTGCTAGATGTAGACCTTGAGATAAGGTGGGGGGGCAGTCATCCAGACCCTTAGATAAGGCAGGGTGGGTGGTCTCCCAAAAACATTTTTGCAACCCTTCAGGCCTCAGTTTGGTCTGAAAATAGGGGGCGGGCCCCCCCTGTGGATCCCCCACTGCTTCATATATTTTCATGGACTGTAATACATATCTCATTAGCTTACCCCAGGGGCAGGCCCCTGGATAAACCAGGAAAATATGTTGGGAATACAAGGGGATCAATTGCATTGTGTGCCTGTGGGGTGGGGAAGATATGTGCCCAGCCGTAAGTTGACGTTTTGCGTATATCTTTATGCTAATGAAAGATAACTTCAGAGTTGTGGAATTAATTACATTTTGTACGCTTCATGCCAGCGGTATAAAGAGTGTGGTTCCCTTCATCAGCTTGAGTATTTTGTTACAAACCATCCCATTGCTTTTTACTTACTAAAGCTAAATTAGAAGAGCATTCATTACTTTAAAATGAAATAATCAAAGCATCGCGTACCTAACATAAATAGATGCCTGTTCTTCTATGCCGATTCAGCTTTGTTGAGCGTAGCGTTGGAACGACATGATAGAAATGAATGAAAACAGACAAACCAATGAAACGATTCAAACGATTGAGGTTGGTGTGAAAGAAATGTTTCAAATGTGAACATACCTTTCACTCGTTTGGTTTAAAATGTTTGAAACGTTGAACGTTGAAAATGAAATGATCGATAGCAGAATCTAAACGCTTCAAACGATTTAGTCGGTGTCGAAAGGCCGCCATCTGTGAAGGAAAATGTAATGCAGGCTAGCGAGATTTGCATGAGCGAGCAGACATGTTCTCACTCTTACTCGTCAATCCAGTAAGAAAAAAAGATACAAATGGGACATAAAAAACCTAAGTAGATAGAGGATGTATTCTTGCCGCCATTGCTTTTGATATCAACCTTAAGCAGCAATAATCATCACTTAAAGTACAGCATCCTAACAAAGTAGCAGCTGTACACCAACACCGTGCACATGGCCTTAAAATAGGTGTCCAAAATTCCTATAGATATCTAACCGCTCAGTTTGAACATTCTAGCAATATGTAATGAATTAGAGAGGATTGCCTTTTGCATTTGGTGCATAATTGATTCACACTTGTCTTCTACAAGCTCTTTTATATTTTGCTCAACCTCGTTCAAACAGCCTCCAGGGACATTCTTGATGATGTTATACTGATTGACCTTGAACTCAGGATATCGGTTCGTCAGCTCTAGTCTCAGTTGGCTGTACTTTGTTGTGTTCTCGAAACGTTTAGACTCTCTAGTTTCCAGCCATGTACGGCTCATTTCAATCACTCTGACTTGCTTGCTGGTCTTGTCAATGACCGTGGTGTCAATTCTAGTAACTTTCACTTGAGTTGTGTAAGCGAATATTATTGTATTATTATTGAAACAACGATTTTTAAGTATTCAAAGAGTTTAAATGCCAAGTAATGGCTGAACATTTTATGATTTCTACATCTACAACCAATAACATTGCTTCAGGCCAGGTTTTAACCTTATTTGGACAAATCTGTAGTGCACAGCAGTCAAAAAAGAGAGCTAAAAAAATTACTTATTTTTCACATCGTCGACCTAAGCCTAAACAAAAAAGTTAAAA